CACACACACACACACATACACACACGGTGTGTCGTGACCCCGTGGAACGAGGTCATGTGTACCTAGCCGCTTCTTAACCGTTTCGTCCACATACGCGATCGTTTGTTCCGATTTCACGGAGCAAAACGGAGGAAAAACCGGAGCAGTTTGGTGGTGGTTCGGCAAGTGTAGAAGAAGTATCTGTGACGAACGTGCGAGCGATAGATCGCTCGATAGAGATTTACCTCTGGTCGCTAGCTCTCAGCTAAAATCGGTAGCTCTCGCGTTTGGGGAATTTGGCGTCGCGACGAACGAAGGGTGGCCGCCACGGACGATCGATGCGATTCGAATCAGACGCGCGAAGCTCGCGAGGAGGAACTTTGGAGGGAAGCAGAAAGGAGTCGCGAGTCGCGGGAGAGACATACATATACATATCGAGGACGGTCTCCATTCTTGACCGAGAGACCGAAACGGTTCGGGAAAGTCAGTGCTTCGCACCGGCAGCGGGATAGGTGGTGGCGCGAGGCGTGGCGAAGTATTGATCGTCGAGTTGCGATTTCCCTTCCTTCTTCACCCCCGACCAACGTCATCCACCGTCCCGAACCCTCTCGCTTTCTCCGTCCTCTCCCGCTCTCGGCCGCCGCCGCCGTTCCTGCCGATCCACCGCTCCGTTGCTCTCTCGGTCGACCCACCTTCACCCTCCTGGCTGTCGGCTCTAGCGCTGCTACTTTCACCTCCGCGCCTCTCCTACTCTCTTCGTAGAATGCCTCTCGCCTCTCTCGGCATTCACCCTCCCGGAACGAGCCCGCACGCGTCCCCGCGGACCAGCGAATCTCTCCGCTCCTTTCTTCTCCTTTTTCTCCTTTTCTCTCCATTGCTCCGCCGAGTTTTTCACCCGAGTGCTTTTCCCTTCTCACTTTGCTCCTTCTTTTTTTTTTTTTTCTCCTTCTTCTTTTTTTTTCGTCGAAATCAATTCGAGATCGATCGAGATCCAGAAAGAGAAATTTCTTTCTCACGTCTCTGCGAATCTGCGTGAAATATCGGAGATCAACTAT